AGCACACTCATTGTTCAAAGGAAAATGACTTATATGATTCAAGGGAGACTTTTTGGAGAAAGATATTAGATTCAATTTACAAACTAATCGAATAGATTGAGCGTAAACCTACAATCGATATATCCGCAACTATAATCTGTTCTTAGGTTGCCATTTTTCTTTAAGTTATCTCTTTCTTTATGGGTTTTTCCAGGCTTCTAAAAGTTAGATCAAGATTCTTTTGTGGCCAATAATACATCAAGAATAACAAGTTCGTTGTACGTTACCTAATATTTGTTGCCATAGTTGAGCCTCGGTCTCTATTTGCGAGTCATCACAAGATATAATATGAATGGCTAGTTGGAATAGGCAAACTACTTATGATCACCAAGAGAGTCAATTTCTTCAATCCCATAGAATTTTCTCTACAATAATAATAGCAATATTCCTTTAACGGTCAATTATCAATATTCTTATTTGAACAAAATCAAGAGTGTTCAATGGATTTCAAATGTTATCTTGTGAAAGAAAATATACTCGTGTTTGGAGGTGCAGAAGCGAGTTGTTCTTCCTCCAATGGAAGATGCATTCAAATCAGTCGTGGGAAAGTTGTAAAACAAGAAGAAATTGGTTATCTTCAAGGACTCATGTCAGATAATGATTCAAGAAAATAAAAAGTTCATTCTTGATTATGGAAGTCTTAATGGAGATAACAATGGAGACCTATTCCTCAAATATATTGAACAAAACCCAAATGGGGTTTTGGGGAACAACCACTCCATCCAATTATTGTTGGGAAAACTTGTTACCGTCATAATGATCGTTCATGTTGGATCACTAATAATTTATGAATCAAAGCGGAAGAGTATCTGAATCAGACATGGTTAATATAATGAATGAATCCTGTGGTTTTTTAGTCCTCCAGATCAACACGTTTTTTCTTTATTTCTCTCTGATGATGGGAGTCACAACAGAAGAACAATTCACGTGTATGTATATATATATATATATGAACGGGCCTGATATCTACACATAAAGACCCACACTTTAATTAGATGTTTCAAAACCCAAAATA